CACAAAGGACTTTTTATATTCTCGAGATGATGTAATATTGTAGCTATAAGGAGAAATGGACTTGAAATGACGCCGAACAATACGCGGGTAAATCTGTAGCTGATTAAATTTGTGTAGTCTGGTTGGTGTTTTATATCTTTTACCCAGAGGAATCTAGTAACATCCCTGTCTTCCGGTCTCAATTGGATCTGTAAAAAAGCTTTAGCAATATCAGCGATCAACAGATTATTAAACATAAGTGTTCTGATCAGTATGCCGGGTAATTGTGGAAGTAGGACAGCTCCTCTAAGTAATTCATTATTTAATGGTGTTTTTCCAGAGCCTGCATCGAATACGACTCTTAATTTAGTGAATGATGAAGAACTTTTGAAAACAGGTTGGTGAGGGAGGTAATGGACTATGTTTGTGTTTTTTGGTGCTATTTCAATCATATTTAAATCCAACTGTTCCTTAATCGTTTTGTCAATTGTTTCCAAAACTTCGGGGTTTTCTCGGTATTTTTTCCAAAGAGATCTGAGTCGGCCTAATGAAACCCCAAAATTCGTTTGTAGTGTCCTTTTCGATTCGATTCGCCACGGCCAGCCTACTTCATAGCGTCCATCAGGTAATTGGTTGATTGACTCCCTGAATTGCTTCCAAGCTATTTCATCATCTGGAATGGTCAATCCCGGATCTCGAATACCAATAGTCTCTAGGTTCCAAAAATCTTTTTCCTCTACTTTTTCAGTAATTTCTCCAACTGCCGACATTACGTATTGTGTTTCATCTTGTATCTCAGCTTCCTTTATTTTCGCTCTGCCGCAGATTATAGGTCCTACTTTTGTGCGGAGCAAGAATCTCTGGTTGGATAAATTTTCAATATTTTCTAAGAGTTTTAAGACGTCAGACAATCCAAAAAGTATGTCAGGAGTGCGTTGCTTTACTTCGATTTCTTTATCATCGTGTAACCAAAATTCCCTTGGATCACTGGGACAATAGATTTTCATTTGATCTAAGTTGGGTGTAGTATACCCTTCGGCAGAAGTAATAGTTCCATTTTTCAATTTAAACTCGATTTTGATCCTATATGATGTGAAGCGGGACTTTTTACCAGCGTATCCATCTACTTCGAGTTCAGTTTTATGTTTAATTTCCGAATCTGAAATCCCTAGTTTTTGTGCAAATCGCTCACTAATCAAGGTACAAGTGGCTCCTGGATCCATTAGTGTGAAACCTCTAATTGATTCTTTTCGACTATTTAAGTATTCAATATTTTTAGTCATTAGCAATGTTTTTATATTTTTGTCTTTCAGCGAGAGAGTGTTGATCTTTTCTAATTCCCTGTTATTTTGTGTACTATTTACTTCCATTATGTCTATCAGGCAGTTCATATCTTCTTGGGAAAATCCTGGATCTGTATTTGTATTCTCACCTGTGTTTTCTCTTATATTATGAATATTTTCTCGTTTGATTGTGTTTTTGGGACAGACAGCAAAGTAATGAGGTTGTGTGCAACTCTGGCATTTTATCTTATTATTTTTACAATATTTGGCAATATGATTCCGCTCGAAACATTTGGTACATTTTCTCAAATCTTTCAACCTTTGTATTCTGGTCTCAAAATTTATATATTTTTTACATTGGACGGAACTGTGATTATCGATCTCACAAAAGACACATGGCCTTCTCTTTTTATTTGTTTCATTGGAATATCTATTTATTTCTGGTTTTGGTTCCCGCCAATTAGTGTTTTTATCCCTCTCTATATTATTAGTAAATACATTATGATTTTGGCGAGGAGGAGGGCGTCTATAATTCGATGAGGAACTTTGGCCATAAACCGCTTCTTTAATTTTTAGATGCTTGTCAATTGAGTCTAGGAGTCGGTTAATAGTCCAATTAGTGGGATTTTTATTTTGCTCTTCAAGTATGACACAACTAGCCCATCCCCCGAATTTGTTTTCAATTTGTTGTAGCAGTGCACCATTGTCGATTTCTTCTCCTAATGCCTTCAATTGCTGTGTGATTCGATGTACATTTATCCAATTTTGACGAACGTCTTCAGTTTTTAATGCCCGAGGACAAAGCTTATTTAATTCCCCATACAATGATCGTTTAACTGAGATCTCATCCCCAAATCGTTTCCTAAGATGGTTCACTACTAATGGATAATTTAAGGCTGTTATTGCAAATCCGCTCACTTCACTATAGGGATGAGGACGAGCGAGGGAGGCAAGTAAATACGTTAGTTTTTCAGAATCGTCTAGACTATGATTTTTATCTATTGAAACTTCAAAAAGACTCCAGAAGCTTGGCCAGTCCGAAACCTTTCCATTAAAGAGAGGAAGATTACAAACTGGCAGTCGAATAGAAGTCGAATGTGCAACCGATGTATTGGCGACAGAATTATCATTATGAGACGACGAGGAGACTTCAATCAGCTTAGCTTCGATTTCACAACTTAGATCCCTCGCTATTTCGATTAGGGCTATAAAACCATCCTCCCCCTCCGCGTGGGTGTTATAATCTTTCAACATGTCCTCCTTCCTATCCTGCGCCTCGAGACCTATGAGCTTCGCCCAGTCTGTATTGATCTGTTCCAACACTTCTACAGATCTAGCTAATTTCAGTTGTTGTGCTCTCAGACTCGTTATACTTTCGGGGTTTACTCCATTATCTGATAATTCTTTGATCGACTTTATATATCCAATGGTTCTTTTCCTGAGTGGACCTAATCTCATTTTAAGCGGTCCCGCGAAAGTGCGATTTGCCATTTATTATTTTAATTTTAAATACAATTTTTAGCTGTATATTAAATACAAAAAATTAAAAGCAATTGTGTGTATATGGATATTTAAATTAATGCAATTGTAAGTTTGTTTAAATAGTATTTAAATTAATTATTCTTTTATTCTTTAATTAGAGCGGCTAGACGTTCAAACAAAGATGCACAAGCACGAGAGGTTTGTCCAATTTGCGAATACACTTCAGCAAGTTGTGCTGCTTTACGTACGGACTCCCCCTTCTTTTTTGCTTCGGCTATTTTCTCTGCTTCGCTCTTCTGTACTTCCAAGATTTGATTTTTCACTTCGGGCTTCTTTTGAGGAAAATTTAATAATCTTCTTAAAAAGACTATATTCACCTTTGGACACGTGACAGGAGTCTTTGAGTGAACACGATTGGGAATCACTGCTTCTGCTCGTGTCGTTTGATGATCCTGCTATTGGAAGGATTAGATTTGACCAGATAGCAGTAGTAAGAATTTTAGCCCTCTTGGTTCTCCCAGCGATTACAATTCGGGAGTTTACCTTTTTGTTATTGTTGTCGGTCCGGGAAGAGTGTGGCCTTTTATGAGCAGCGATCGGCAGTGAACGTCCGGCACTTCCAATTCTTGGAGTAGAGGGTGAACGAGGCCTTCTGGGAGTTTGCTGTTCAGCCAAGACTGGTTTTGTTTTCACAGCAGTGTCCGACGGTGGGTTAGACCTAATCCAATTACAAGGTAAGCAAAATTTATTAATGGGGCAAAGAGTTTTCTTTACAACAACAAACTTTTTGTGAGGTGGAGGCCAATCATCATCATCCTCAGAAGTATCTGTTTCGGTTGCCTTGATATCTTTACTTGGAACAGCAATTGGCTTCTGGTTATTACCACGAGTTGGATTGGAAGAGCCAGCAGTAGACGACGAGCTTGTATTAGTAGTTGTGGCGCGACCGGAAGATGTACAATTTAGTTTATTTTTTGAGCCAGAATCTGGAGTAGTTGTTTCAGGAGTAGAAACAAATTTTTTCACAACACAAATCAAGCAGTTGCAGTTAGTGTTGTCGGAATGCACGCCTTGAGCCGAGGCAAGTATTTGTTGAAGCACAGCAGGTTTAATTGATTCCGCCACTGAAATTTGAGTTATTAGTAAGATTTAGTCGGGGTGCCTCTCCCGGAGCACCACTTTTGTCAACTAAAAGCTTACTTTGACAAATAAATTTTTTGGGGAAGCTAGGTCCCAAGAGTTATTGAATAAAGTGAATTTAAATAAAATATTTATCTTTAAAATTAAAAATACAATTAAATATTTTTATAAAGAATTAATGGAAAATTGAAACTGAAGATGATAGGGAAGATCTGCCTATTGTTTATATAGGGGATATAATGGACAATAGGCAGAGATTTAAACAATAGTGAATAGAGAAGTGATATGGAAAATAGTATTAACTAGGGGTGAAAAGACAATAGTTTCCGGAAAAAGAAGAGAGAAGAAGGGGTCAAAGTGGATGTTTATGGGAAAATAATTTATGAAATTGCCTGTCGCGGACAGGTGAAATAAAGGGAAAAATAGGAGGAAATATTTAAATTTATTAAATAATTATAATTTCGTGTTCCTTACACGACACTACTCAGCTCGAACAGCTCTTTCAAATGATATATTGTAAATTATATTTAAAGCAAAAAATCTCAAAATGGTCAGGCGAACAGAAAAAAAAGGGGGGGGGACCAGCCTTGGAATTACCCAAAACAGAAAAGTACCAAGCAGATTCAAGTGATATTTGATATCGAGTGATATCAGGTGATTAAGAGGGGTATCAATGGATTAAGGGGTATTTGCGTAAACTATTTTTGGATTTGGGTGGATTTAAGTAGGATTTTGATGGATATCGTCAGATTAATAAAAACTTTTGCTATTTGGGTGATTAAGTATGACGCTTGATTTTGAGTTCATTAATTTTATCCCTTTATTTTGCGCCGCCGGTGAAAATTTTGAAAATTTCGGAAGAATCTTGGAAAACTTTCAGTCGCGGACGTCTCTAGAAAATACATATTTTATAAAAGATTTAAAAAGTAGAGGAAGCGAGGAAAGGAATTTAAATTTTCAGCTAGAAATAGTAAAAACGCCAATGTGGCATTTTGATCGGTACATTTATTGATTAGCATACTTCCGGTGCGCTATGTTTATTTTAGTTACTTTTGCGTTTTAATATAAAACTATATGTAGCTTTACTTTGTATGTATAGTTCCTTTTATTTCTAGATAAAAAATATAGATATGTCAACTACGAAAGCTAATGAAAAACTTCCTCGTAATTATGAGATTGCACCAGGCGTTCTACGCTTCTCAAAGGCTAGAATGTTCCACAAACGTGGACTTTGGGAAAAGCTTAAAAAGCCATTTCAGAAGCAAGAAAAAAAAGTTGAAACACAAGAGAAATATATAGTTAAGAAGATTGGAGGAGATAAAAATGGAGGAGAAAGGAAGATCCTCGTCCAAAAGCCTGTATATGTTTCAAGAGTTTACCTATTTCAAATTATTAAATCCTTTTAAGCCTAAACTTCTTCCTCAAGTTCCTCAACTTCTTAAACGCAACAAACGCAAAACAAAAAAGGTTCCTCTTCGCAAGTCAATTACTCCTGGAACTATTTTAATTATTTTGGTGGGTCGTCATCGTGGTAAACGTGTTGTTTTTTTGAAGCAATTGGAAAAGTCTGGTCTTCTTCTTGTTACCGGTATACTATTTATTTAAATATTTGGCTTCCTAAAGCTTTTAACTTATTGTTTTGCATACTCTAGGTCCGCTTAAGTTAAATGCTTGCCCACTTCGCCGTATTGCACAATCTTTTGTAATTGCAACCAAAACTAAGTTGGATGTAAGCAAATTGCAAGTTCCTGAACACATTGATGATGATTATTTGAAGAGGAAAAGCAATAAAGTTGCTGATAAGTCAAAGGGTGGAATTTTCGCTGATGGTGCTAAACAGGTTTTCCAAATCTGGGAATTTTTTGATTTATTTTTTGAAGTATGAGGTCTCACAACAGCGAAAGACAGACCAAAAAGCCGTTGACGCTGGTGTTTTAGACGCTATCCGTGCTCATCCTGACAAGAAATATCTTTTTGGTTATCTTGGTTCTCGTTTCCATTTGGCTAAAGGGATGTATCCACATAAGATGACTTTTTAATGGACTTTATCTGTAAAAGATTTATATGGCTTTAGTTTAGGAGATGCGTCCATGAGCTTTTATGCGTGCTATGATTGTTTAAGCGTTCCATCGGAGTACATACGTCTCAAAAATGATGTATGCATCTAATCCGAATATATACGTCCCAAAAATCGTAAAAGCGTCCCATCAGATATATATGTATGTCCCATGCTTCCTATCCATCACTAATGTTGGACGATCCAGCTACATCATTCTCAACAATAATAGCCAGTAAAGTATCGCTGTCGTATCAGCCACGTGAAATCAGAGAACCTTTGAGCCTCTTTCTAACATACCAAAGACTCAGTCATATGGTATACTTATGGAAAAGCATTGGCTCGTCGATTTTTTGAGAATACTAAACAGATAAAAACCTGCAAAGTTTAAAAAAACCTATATAGTATAACAAACTATACTCTGCCTATACCTCTCAATCTATTGTTGACCTATATTCTAAATACCATTCCTGGCAGATCTTGCTAAAAAATGTAATGATTTATGGTGAGATACTTTGACGGGACGCTTAAACTCTCATGGGGCCTGAACTAGAGCCATTTTCATTTGTTTAATTGTTGATTGGTAATGCTTTTTTTGTTAAACTTCGAAATTTGTTAGAACAAACTGAGTCACACACAAATCACTTAAAAATTTACGCAAATAAGGGTCGAATCATTTTTCGAGTAAACCCCGTTATACCGCGAGCCCAGTATACCGCCGAGCTATAACTTCGTTCAAAATTGTCGAATCCGGGAGGCCCTGGTATGGTTCGATGCGCCTCAACGAGCTGAATCGAAACATACCAGGGCGTCCCGGGTTCGACAATTTTGAACGTAGTTATAGCTCGGCGGTATACTGGGCTCGCAGTATACTGGCCTGCTCCCTCATTTTTCATTACTTATATTTTTCCATAATATGCATAGTGGTCAGATTTTTTCCCTCCCTCAACATCACTATTTGCTTGCAGCACTTTCAAATGAGAGGCATTAAAAAAAATTAATAAAAGAAAATTTGTTATAAGTACAAGGCTGAGCCGGCCCGGCTCTAATGCCAAACCTGGAATCCGAATCCGGCAAATTTTTTACACCGGATTTGGGGAACAGATCCGTTTTTGCAATTCTCCTATTTTTCGTTTTTACAAAGAGGATTTTTGACCGCAAACCTTCAGAGCAAGTGTTAAAATAAACGAGTGTTCAATCTTTTGGAACCACTTTAATTTGTAGTTCGGATTTAAGTAGCTCCCTAATCAACTCACTATCCTTTGATATTTCTCAAATCACTGATATCCCCTAAAACCACCTCTAATACATATTTCCAGATTTCCCCTCAAACGAATAACCAGGCTCGAATTTTACCTTTTCTTGAGTATGTTCAAACTAGAGTACCGAGTAATTGGGGAAAAACTGAGTTCGATTAATGCCGAGCAAAGTACAGGTTTATTTTCTCTTTAAATAAAAATTTTAAAAATATTTTTTAATCGAAAAAGAACTTTAAAAACTCTTCAGAAAACAACAAAATTTTTATTAAATTAATTAATTGGTCGAATTTTTATTTTACCTCCTCCAATAGTTGATCTTTCCGAATTTATAGCCTTCCTTTGTTCTCTAAAAGCCAATTTATTTGCTTTCTTTTCTTGGCGGCGTTCACGACGTTCTTCCTTTATTGCCTTGAAAAAATTTAAATAAATTTAAAAAATTTAAAGAAAAACCTGTTTTCTCAGCCTTCTTTCTTCACAAGATTCCCCTTTAGGTCGAAATGTACTAGCTGTAGAGACATAAGAACGAACACTTTTAACATCATCTCTACCATCAACTTCCATTTCTGACTGAAAAATAAATTTTTTTAGTTCATTCTAGGGAAATAGTTGAGAACAAGGACAACGCCGACACGATTTCCGAAAACAGGAATTTTTGTTTGTCGACGTGACCCCTGGTGTGAGACGTAAAAAATCAATCCAAAAATGATTCAGAATTTTAAGACTCTCAACTCAAGACTAAAAAAGATGGTTACTCCCCTCCCCCCAAAGTTCATAAAAATAAAAGCAAAATTAACCTCATTCAAAGAATGTTTTGACTTTTTTCCAATTGAAGCTGTTTCACGAATTTCGGTTGGTTGATTGAATTGCTAGAAAAACAAAGAGTAAGAGTAATTTCATCTTTTAAAAAATTCTGTCCTTTTAGGGTGATGTACAACGAACTACTACAAGTTAGAAATGGGTACGTTAGTCCAAGAAACAACCGAACAAATTCCCAGTCAGCTTATTAAACTTTAACAGCCCCGACCTCGTAAAAATGGATCCTAATTTCTATTTTTATTCAATACCTGAACATTTTCCTTCTTGCTCCCAAAGTCAACAATGCTCATTTGCAATTTTGTTTAGTTCGAAAAAATTAAAATAATTTAAGATGTGAATTTCAATTCACAATATACTTTTAAAGTTAAACAAAAACATTTTTGAAAACTTAAAAAAGGAGAATATTTTTTTATCAAAAAGCAACAAATAAAATAGAGATCGGACCGAGACAAGATCTCGAGCGAAAATACCGGTTATGAAGATAGAGATTTTTTAAAGATATCGATCTCAATTCTCGTACGACCCTCCCAATCCGGTCTCTAAAACAAACAACCAAACATTTTTTAAATAAAGTCACTCAAAAAATCATCTTGTGTGGATACATCCCTTTAGCCAAGTGGAAGCGAGAGCCAATATACCCAAAGAGGTATTTTTTGTCAGAATGAGCACGGATAGCCTCCAAAACACCCGCATCAACGAATTTTTGATCCGATTTACGCTGTTGTGTCACCTCGTACTCCTAGAAAAATAAATAAGAAATGCCAGAAAAACTTTAAAAAAACCTGTTTAGCACCACCAGCAAAAATCCCTCCTTTTGATTTGTCGGCCAATTTCCCACTCTTACGTTTGAAATAAGAATCATTGACGTGAACGGGAACCTCCAACTTGCTAATGTCGATTTTGGTACTGGTAGCAATAACAAAAGCCTGCGCAATGCGTCGAAGTGGGCATGAATTGATTTTGAGAGGGCCTAAAATTTAACAAAAGATAAAGTGACTAAATTAAAGTATCTTTACTCCTTTAATCTCAAATTAAATGGAAAGACAAAAAATAAGGAAAAAAGAAACCAAAAAAGGATCTAGAAACGAAAATATGGAGGTATGTAAAAATGCCTAAAATAGATGGACTCCAATTTAAATAAGGAATCGTCAGCTTTGAGACCAAATAGATAAAGTAAATTAAAAAATAATTATACCGGTAACAAGAAGAAGACCAGACTTTTCCAATTGCTTCAAAAAGACAACACGTTTACCACGATGACGACCCACCAAAATAATCAAAACAGTCCCAGGAGTAATTGACTTGCGAAGAGGAACCTTTTTTGTTTTGCGTTTGTTGCGTTTAAGAAGTTGAGGAACTTGAGGAAGAAGTTTAGGCATTGACATTTTTATTTTTATCAGAAATAAAAGAATCTAAAAAAGGAGAAAATTTAATCAAAGTACTGCTGAAACGAGAAAAAATGAATGAAAATTGAGCTACCGAATGAGCATCATTTAAAAAATCGAATTTTTCACCCCAAAAATCCCACATAAATTTGACAATTTAGAGCCAAATATCTCGGCCCATATTTGAGTCCGCGGGCTAATTTCGGTGTCATTCGACTCAGCTCGCCAAACTTTTTCCAAAATCAGCGAAATCTGACTTTATTGGAAGAAGATATAGGCCCCTATGAATCGAAGATCCAAAGGGGCGATTTTTGGAATAAAAAGTTTTTTATACAATAGCTCATTCGAAAGAGCTCGACGAGCAGAGTCGATTGACACCAAAATCACTGCACTTGAATAATTTTAGACAAAGTTACGAAACAAAAACAAGCAACATACGGACTGGGAGGGTTCCGTGCCGCGGTTTCCGTGCCGCGGATTCCGTGACCTCCCAGTTCCGTGACTTCCCAGTTCCGTGACCTCCCAGTTCCGTGACTTCCCCCCAATAATATAATTATGTTTTTAATAAAATATTTAAACAAAACTTGGTTGTGGCGTGCTGGATATCCATCCCACGGCTGTTCCGATGCTTAACAAGGTTCCAAACTTAACAAGATCAGGAATTTTTGTTTTATTTTTCAGGTTTTTATTTTTTTAATCTTTAGTTGATATTTCTAATTTTTTTAAATTTTCTTTTTTATGTTTAGTCAAATCTTGTTTAATGTGTGCAGAACTCTTTTATCTTTTTTTGATAAATTTTTGTGTATCAGACTCGTTTTTTTATTAAAATTTTGTTCCCTGAAGAAAAAAAGCCAAGACCAAGACTCCCCCTAAGCCCGAGAAAGTCCAAGAAAAGCCTTGAGTAAAAACTCGGCTACCTTTTTTCATGTTCTTTAGATCGTAGAAAGTAGGAAAAACTTTAAAAAATTACGAGAAACCTTGTTTCTTATTTAAATAATTAGTACGGAAACGTCCCTTTTACAACGGTCACGGAACTGGGAGGTCACGGAACTGGGAAGTCACGGAATCCGTGGCACGGAACTCGCGGCACGGAAAGGTGCCCCACCGTAAATTTTAGAGTTCTCTGTCTGCCTGCAGCTTTGAATATTGCTGTGTTTGGCGTTGTGTTTAGTTTTTAATTAAGAATAGAGCTAGGAATTTTGAAAAAACCGGGACCGGGTCCGGGAAACGGGTTCTGAAAAATGGACCGGGCGGGAACCGGGTCCGGGAAACCGGGAAAACCCGTTCCCGGTTTCAACCCGGTCAAAAATGACCGGGTCCCGGCCGGGAAACCGGGAAATTTTTAATTTGTTGAAATAGGGGTCTATTTTTCCACATAGGGCTGTATTTTTCATCTATTCTCCTATACTTATTCTAAATAACCTCTATTAATGTAAGTGAATGCCATTCACGATTATTTAACTCAAGATCGAATTCCCTTTTCTGAAAAATACGTTCATCGACTGCTGCCTTTTGTTCTTTCGTACTTGGGATTAATGAAAAAATTCAAAGAAATATGTACTACATATGTTTAAATTCTTTCTAAAGCCCTTATATGTTGGCCGAGTGGTTGTTATGTGTTAGTTCCTTCAGAATGTTAGTTCCTTTTAATTCCTTCAGAATCCTTAGATATCCCTTTTAATTCTTTTTAATCTTATTGAACTAAAAATTCTTCGCGCCATTTTTTGCGCCGTAGGCGAAAATTTTGAGAATTTTGATAGGCCTTAGCAGAAAAGAATTCAATTGTCAGAGCTGCCGGCGAAAAAATTTTTCGAAGTTTAGATGGTAATGAAGCCAGAACTTTTAAATTTTCTGCGCCACAGTGAAAATTTTGGAAAATTCATGATTTAATTGAAATTTCTAAGATTTTTTCAAGATTAAAACAGTAAAAAAATTTTCAAATTTAAAATCAAAGTTTAAAATTATTTATTTTTGAAAAGAAAATTTTCTCAGCCCCATTTCCATACATGGACTCGAACCCCATCCCTATCAAAATAACTAGATGAGTGAAGTCAGTCAACTTAACCACTCAACCATCGACCGACAAAAGCAAAATGGAGAAATTATAAATATTCCTTTCCCTTTTCCTTCAAAAATTTAATATCAAAGTACGCAAATACACTAAATATTTTTCCCGGTTTTCCGGTGAAAAAAAATCCGGGACCGGGTCCGGGTAACGGGTTTTGAAAAATGGACCGGGCGGGAACCGGGTCCGGGAAACCGGGAAAACCCGTTCCCGGTTTCAACCCGGTTGCTTCAAAAAAACCGGGAAAAGGGACCCGGAAACCGGGAAACGGGTCCGGGTCCCGGACCCGTTCCTAGCTCTAATTAAGAATGACAAAATGGGTACAGCCCAAGTAGGCGCGGGCCAAGTAGGCGCGACCGAGTAGGCGCGACCGAGTAGGCGCAGGCCAAGTAGGCGCAAGGCCAAGTAGGCGCACGGCCCAAGTAGGCGCAAGGGTAAATTTCTTAATTTTTACCCAAAATTTTTTTATTAATCTTCAACTAATTTTGTTAATTAGTTGGCTGAATAATCAATAAGAATAATCAAGCAACTTTATGTGGACACTGGACTTTTTCTAAAACTGCCCTTCTTAGGGAAAAAAATTTATTAAGTGAAGCTCGTTGATGTTTTTATTTTTTGATAAAATTAAAAAAATCTTTTAATATTTTTCTCATAAAAGCTCCATACTTAGCTGCTGATAAGTTTTGGATTATTTGCTAAGTTTGTTAATTAGTGAGAGCCATGCTGCTTTGATAATTCCTGTGGCTTACCAATGTTATGAATACTCTAACTAGTTCAACTAGTTAAGGGGGGACTAACTAGTTAGCCTTTAGGAACTAACCAGTTTAAGGGAACATGAAGTATATACAAAGGTACAATTAACAATCAAGATACGACTATCAAGGCGTTTCACAAAAAAGTCCAGCTACAGTTAGGAGTCTTTTGATGATTAAAAGCTTTTAATGGATTAAAAAATAAATATACACTTTTGAACTGCCTAGTTAATGTATACAGTACGAACGTATACTAACAGGGTATCGATATTTAAGGTGTCTTTCTTCTAAAATAGGTACCTTTCTTCTAATTTTTATCAAGAATCTTTCTTCTAACTCATTAACATAAAAATATTTATACTGACTTATTTTTTAATTTGAATATTTTAAGCTAAAAGATTTGCGCCTACTTGGGCCGTGCGCCTACTTGGCCTTGCGCCTACTTGGCCTGCGCCTACTCGGTCGCGCCTACTCGGTCGCGCCTACTTGGCCCGCGCCTACTCGGGCGTGTCCCTGACAAAATATCCCAAAAAGAAAATAGTGTGTAATTAGAGAAGTTAAGGAAGTAATAAGTATTTTCTTAGAATTTGTTTTGTATTTTTTGTTGATTTTTTTTGTTTGTAGATATTTGTTTTTTGTTCTTATTTGTTATTTATTGTATTTTAGGGTGGGGGCTCAATCGGCGGGACTCAGTCATCTCCCGCGTAAAAGTCAGTTCCGTACCCCGCACTTTTTTCCTTACTAAAAGTATTAAAAAATGGTCAGTCAGCCTTAGGTTATAGAACTTGTCGAGCTGTGTCGTTGACACCAAAATCAACCCCTGGTTTTAACGTTGGGCCGAGATACAAACGTGCGGGGTACGAAACCGACTACTACCTCTCCCGCCGCAATAAAAGGCTAATAAAATGAAAAAATAAGAAAAAAAGGACAAATTCAAATACACAACTTAAAGAACCTTTCAGATCAACCATAAAGTGCACAACATTCATCATCTAAAAATTCAATAATAAACTGTTAAGAAGAGAATGAATATACATAGAATATACATATGAATATTGTATATTTTTTCACTTTATGATTGACATTAAAAATTTTATTTACATTTAGTTATTCCTTTTTTTGTTTTTATTGCTTTTTTGTTTAAATTTAACCTTCTCTTCTTAAACAGTTTATTATTGGATTTTTAGACAATGAATGCTGTGCACTTTATGGTTGATCTGAAAATTTTTTTTTCTTTAATATTTTGCATTTTTTGTCTTTTTTTTTCTTTTCTTATTTTTTTCGTTTTATTAGCCTTTTAATATCATTCTTTTGTAAACATTTTTCCTCTTGTTACGCCCATCTTCTTTTGTTTTTTGGCTCTCAATTTTCATTCATTTTTTCTCGTTTCAGCAGTACTTTGATTAAATTTTCTCCTTTTTTAGATTCTTTTATTTCTGATAAAAATAAAAATGTCAATGCCTAAACTTCTTCCTCAAGTTCCTCAACTTCTTAAACGCAACAAACGCAAAACAAAAAAGGTTCCTCTTCGCAAGTCAATTACTCCTGGGACTGTTTTGATTATTTTGGTGGGTCGTCATCGTGGTAAACGTGTTGTCTTTTTGAAGCAATTGGAAAAGTCTGGTCTTCTTCTTGTTACCGGTATAATTATTTTTTAATTTACTTTATCTATTTGGTCTCAAAGCTGACGATTCTTTATTTAAATTGGAGTCCATCTATTTTAGGCATTTTTACATACCTCCATATTTTCATTTCTAGATCCTATTTTGGTTATCTTTTCCCCATATTTTTTTTCTTTCCATTTAATTTGAGATTAAAGGAGTAAAGATACTTTAATTTAGTCACTTTATCTTTTGTTAAATTTTAGGCCCTCTTAAAATCAATTCATGCCCACTTCGACGCATTGCGCAGGCTTTTGTTATTGCTACCAGTACCAAAATCGACATTAGCAAGTTGGAGGTTCCCGTTCACGTCAATGATTCTTATTTCAAACGTAAGAGTGGGAAATTGGCCGACAAATCAAAAGGAGGGATTTTTGCTGGTGGTGCTAAACAGGTTTTTTGAAGTTTTTCTGACATTTCTTATTTATTTTTCTAGAAGTACGAGGTCACACAGCAGCGTAAATCTGATCAAAAATTTGTTGATGCGGGTGTTTTGGAGGCTATCCGTGCTCATCCTGACAAAAAATACCTCTTTGGGTATCTTGGCTCTCGCTTCCATCTGGCTAAAGGGATGTATCCACACAAGATGACTTTTTGAGTGACTTTAGTATAAAAATAATTATTGGTTGTTTATTTTAGAGAGCGGATTGGGAGGGTCGTACGAGAATTGAGATCGATATCTTTAAAAATCTCTATCTTATAACCGGTATTTTCGCTCGAGATCTTGTCTCGGTCCGATCTCTATTTTATTTGTTGTTATCTGATAAAAAAATATTCTCCTTTTTTAAATTTTTAAAAAAGTTATTGTTTAACTTTAAAATTATTTTATCAAGTGAAATGTCCATCTTAAATTATTTAATTTTTCTAAACTAAACAAAAAAGCAAATGAGCATTGTTGACTTTGGGAGCAAGAAGGAAAATGTTCAGGTATTGAATATAAATAAAAATTAGGGTCGATTTTTAACGAGTTCGGGGCTGTTAAAGTTTAATAAGCTGACTGGGAATTTTTTCGGTTGTTTCTTGGACTAACGTACCCATTTCTGACTTGTAGGGCATTATACACCATCGCAAGGGCGTATCCAGGGGGTCGGTTTCGGGGGGGGCTAACACTGGGTGGGCGCAAAAATTTTTGGCGTTTACCTTGGCGTTCCGGACACAGATTTTTTTGTACATAAATTTTCATCTTTTCTGCGCCGCAGGCGAAAATTTTAAGGATTGTGGAGCTCAAGAAGCCAGATTTCTTCCATTTTTTGCGCCGCAGGCGAAAATTTTTTGAATTTTGGAAGGCCGTAGGCCAAAAAAATCACGTTTTCGGCGCCGCAGGCGCCAAAAATTTGATTTTCAGCGCCGCAGGCGAAAATTTTTTAAATTTCAGAGGCCGTAGGCCAAAAAAATTCACTTTTTTTGCCCCAACCCTTCCTCAAATTTTTTCCTTTTCCCCATTTCGGGGGGGGCTCTAGCCCCCCCCCAGCCCCCCCCTGGATACGCCCTTGCACCATCGTAAAAGGACAGAATTTTTTAAAAGATGAAATTACTCTTACTCTTTGTTCTTTAGAAATTCAATCAACCAACCGAGATTCGTGAAACAGCTTCAACTGGAAGAAAGTCAAAACATTCTTTGAATGAGGTTAATTTTGTTTTTTATGAGCTTTGGGGAGGGGAGTAAATTATCTTTTTTTAGTCTTGAGTTGGGAGTTGTAAAACTTTGGGTCATTTTTGGATTGATTTTTAACATCTCACATTAGGGATCACGTCGAGAAACAAAAATTCCTGTTTTCAAGAATCGGATAGGCGTTGTCCTTGTTCTCAACTTTTTCCCTAGAATGATCTAAAAAATTTTTATTTTTCAGTCAGAAATGGAAGTTGATGGTAGAGATGATGTTAAAAGTGTTCGTTCTTATGTCTCTACAGCCAGTACATTTCGACCTAAAGGAGAATCTTGTGAAGAAAGAAGGCTGAGAAAACAGGTTTTTTTTGAAAATTTTTCAAAAATTTTTATTAAAAATTGTTTTTCAAGGCAATAAAGGAAGAACGTCGTGAACGCCGTCAAGAAAAGAAAGCAAATAAATTGGCTTTTAGAGAACAAAGAAAAGCTATAAATGTGGAAAGATCAACTATTGGGGGAGGTAAAATAAAAATTCGACCAATTAATTAATTTAATAAAAATTTTTGTTGATTTTTTCGATTTTTGAGGTGTTTTAAGATTTTTTTCGTTGAAAAATGTTTAAAAATATTTTTAAAAATTTTTTGAGAAAAATTCTAATAAGGAGTAATTCCCTACTGGCATTAAAAATATAATTATAAATTAATTTTAAAAATTTGGGCTCCGTATAAGAGGGGTTACAGGGAGGATTTTTCTGAATTTGGTAGTCTTTTATCGTAGTATTTTTTGGTGAAACCTGTTTTTTAGGGTTTTAGGACTGAAAAATTCATAGTCAGCCAAAAATTCATAGTCAGGCCAAACTAAAACATATTAGAATATGTTCTTTAATTAGAAAATATTTTTTAAAAATTCGGTAAAATAATTTTTTGTTATTTATTCAAAAATATTTAAAAAATAAAATTCTTTTTTAAAATTAATATTAATAAATACTATTTTATTATTAGGGTTGCCGGCCCGGTCGGGCATCGAATTTTGGCCCAAAAAAGACTCGGTCGGGCCGGCCCAATAAAAATGACTCGGCCCGACTCGAAGTCGGCAACCCTATTTATTATCAAAATAAATTGTTTAAAATAATTTTTAAATAATATATTATATTATTTTTTTAATCAGACGCCATTCATTTTACCAATTCCAGAAATTTTAATTAATTAAAAATTGCCTCTACCAACCAATCTTTTAACAAAATATAAAAAATGTGTGTAAACATTAATGCTGCCCAAAGCTATTTAGAACAATTTAAAAAATTATTTTAAAAAATTAAATTATTTGGCACTTCTGCCGTTTAAAGGGGCAGCAGTTCTCTGACCATTATGTGCTCTTTTCTTCAATTAAAATTATTCCTTTACTACTTTCTATTAAAATTTGTTGCCAAAATTAGTCTCATAATCGTCAGAGAACGGCGGTCTCTTTAAATGGCAGGAGTACCAATTATTTATTTAACCTGATATATCTCTCCAAAAAATATCCAAAAATAATTTACAATAATTTCTAATTTGGTTTCTGACATTTTTAAAAATTAATTTTTTTTTGGAAAATTGTTTAGAAAAAAAAAGATTGTGAAATAATCGTTAAGAAATAAAAGGTGTTATTTAAAGAGAAAATAAACCTGTTCTCCCCAAAAAATATTTTAAACACAAAAATTAAATAGTAAACGAAAAAGAATATAGCAATTTATTTTTTTTGAAAGAAAAAACTTTTTTACACCTCTAACAATAAGATTCGAACCTTGCCTCCACTAAATAATTAATCGAAATTTAAACCACTCGACCACTCATTTCACTATAGAAAAAATAGTTTTTTAAGGTCATTTACTGGGGGGGGTGTCTGGGATCTGAGTTTGCCAGTACCTAAGACCGATGGGATTAGGCATACATTTTAATTTTTATCAGCAAAAAACATGGTCTCCTCGACAAAACTATTTTATTGAAAAAATTTTTATTAAAAATTTATTCTTCATTTTCACTTATTATTATTGTTCTATTTGTACTTCCCTCTCCTATATTTTTATTTTTTTCTTCAATAATTTCTTCACTAACAGAAGATGCTCTTTCACTACTAGGATAATAATAAAATGAAGATGTTTTTTGTTTTTGTGAATTTATTAATAATTGATTGTTTGTGTGGTTTTGTTGTTTTTGGGTGTTTTTTCTTTGTAAACTTCTCCACGATCTGTTTTAGATTTATTTTTAATTTAGACCCCTTTTCCCCTTTTACATATCCCATTCTTTGTCTTATTTTAATATTTTCCCTTTTTTTAATCCTACCTCCTTATCCTACCTTCTCTAAGTTACCTCTAGGATATCTTAAGAGGGTATTTGATAGATGAGAGTGTCTACTCAAATCAATCTCTGACTTATATCAGGGAGTATACACAATCCAACATACACATTAGGGGTGTGCCGAAATAGATTTTATAGGCGAGAGTTCGAAAAAGGCGGAATTTTGAGGAAGGCGAAATGGCACACCCCTGATACACATCCAACATTTCCGGATTCTTCAGTTATCCTTCTAGATAACTTGAATTACCCCGTCTGTTACTGTTTCTGTGAACGGGATAAGTTAGAGATTGAGAAGGAGGGACAGATAAAATTTTTTTTAATTTTTTGGTCATGAAAAATGGACATTTTCATCCCAAAAAAATATTTTTTGAAAATTCAAAAAAAATTAAAATAAAATTACCCTTGTGAATGTCCTCTTCTTTGTCTCTTTATATTATTTAATTTATTATTATTAATTAATTCTTCATTATTGTCTAATATAAAATCATTATTTTTCACTCCAAGAATTTTAATAGCTTTACTATTTGGATTTAAATTATTTAAATTAATGTTGTTGTGGTTATTGTTATGTTTACGTTGAATATGTTCAAATAAAAAATTTGAATGTAAAAATAATTTATTACATTCATTACACTGTGAAAATTGAAAAAGAGAAATTAAATATTTTTTATTAAATTTGGTTAAAAGTAGGGTAACACTCCGTCCTCTGAAACCCGACAAATTCTTAGGCAACACCCCGACCCGACCCCCGAAATCCCGACTATTTTTTGGCAAAAGCCCCGACAAGAACCCCGAAGACTCGAGGTGCTACCCTAGTTAAAAGTGTTGTAGTTTGGATTGGGGGATGTTTGCTTATTTTGCTTCCGTGTTCTGTCAACTTTACGTCTTTTTTACTCTTCCACTTTCCGTCTTTTAATCTTATTTGATTTCTTCCACTTTTTAAAAATTTTGTTTCAACATCCTTTGTTTCGAAAGTCTATTTTTAAATGGCTCCGGAAAAGCACAGTAGATTGGAAAGGACATGGAGATAATTAGAAATCGAACTAATACACTTTCCGGTCACACCTTGAGAATTCCATAATATTGTAAAGTAGCTATTTAATTCCCAAGGTGCAGTAGGTGGCGTGATTTAATGGCTACCACATCAGTCCGGTCTATTGAAGACCGGACTGATGTGTCCGCCGATTAACCTTTTGCACTAGCTGAAGGAGAGAAATAGCTATAGCTCTGCTGCTTTACTATATGCAGGTACTGACAAATAATTCACCAAGTAAGAAAGGAAGAGAGGGCTTTATTTGTAAACCTTTTCCTCCTTCAAAAGGCTCTGTGAATATTTAAGTAAATCTCTCAGAAAATAAATATAAAGGGTATTAAAGTTTAATTAATTAACCCTAAACAATTCTCTCTTCCAATGACTACATTCTTCAATATTTTTCTTATTTTTCTTTTCTCCAGTTTCTCCTTCATTTTCAATCTCATTATTAGGTCCATAACAAAATTGTTTTTTAATTATTTTATTTTCTTTTTTATATCTTTTAGCCAATTTTTCCATTTTTTCAACTTTAACAACCATCTCTTGCTGACTTTTTAGTAAATATTCTATTTGGAATTGGGCTAGACGAAATAATTTTAAAATTTGTGAGGATGTACAGACATTTTGTTTATTTTCTTCTTCATTTTTTAGTTTTTCTTCATCTAAAATTTAATTTTTAAATAAATTACCTTCCGCGGAAAGTTTCAAAATGTCAACATGACAAAAGGTCGTCAAGGGTAAAATTTGACAAATCGTCCAGCGACAAAATGCCAATAATTTCTTATTCGACAAAATGCCACACGACAAAATGTAAATGTGGTAGAACCTGACATTTTGTCTACTTGACATTTTGTCATAATTACTGTAAAGTTAATTACCTAAAATTACTTTATTAATTTGTGCTAATACGACAGAGGGAAGTGCTTGTTGTAATGTTTCAAATATTCCAATGCCTTGTTCTAATAATTTAATACTAATTTCATCTAAAAATAATTTTTGTTTAAAAATTAATTTTATTTTTAATTAATTTATGAGTGTTTTTAAAATATAGTTAATAATTTTTTGGAGTTGAAAATCTTTTGAAACGACACATGGATGGGTAATTCTAATTATTAGAGATGTCCAAGACTCTTGGTCTCGAGTCTTGGAAAATCTTCGAGTTTGGATATCTCTACTAGTTATCCTCCTTTTTCTCCCCTTCCCTTATTCGTTAAATTTTCTCTTTTGATCTCCCAAAGGTTGAAGAGGAGAACCTTTTCCTTAACTGAAAAAAGGTGGAGGAGAACCTTTCAGGAAAATTTTTAAGGAAGGCAAAGAAGAAGGATGACGGGGCAAGCCTTACTTTATTTTCCTCAAGACATAAATAATCCAACTACTAACACCTTTAATAGAGGAAAGAAGGCATAAAGGCTTAGTATTTTTTAAATTTAAAATTTTATTTTATCTCATTTTTTTAATCTAAAAAGCACTCACCAATTAATTGCCAATCGGGTAATTCATTAATTAATAAATACTTTTCTTCAATGGAAGAATTGTCTTCATCTCCATCATTATTAAATTCTTCTTCATTTTCTTTATATTTATTATTTAAATCTTCCATTTTATTCAAAAAAATTATTTAAGTAATTTTTGGGGGAAAGAAAATTATTTTTTTATTTCTCCATAGAATTAAAAAGAATTTATCGTCTAGTGAACATTAAAAATAGCAAAAAAAGTCTTTTTCTTTTAAAATTGTTTCTATGGTAACAAAGCAATAAATGAACTGTTATTGAAGTAAAATAAGGAAAAATGATTTAAAAATAGGCATAGGCCAGGGATGTGCCAGTTTTTCGGATTTTCGCTTTTTTTGATGTTTCGCCTTTCACGGATTTTTAAAAACTGTTTTGGCATACCCCTGGTATATGCATACAATCAAACTTGAATTTTATCTACACCCTAATTTACAGACACTCTGCGTACCATTTTTAAGGTTGATTGGCCACTGGTGATGATTGTGTCCCTTTAAACGATACTTCTCAATTTTACGTCCACATTATTTCAAAACTAAAGGGTGTATGTAAAGGAGATCCGACTATTAGTAGAAATTGATAGTGGGTTGGTAATTAACTGTTGTGTGATTTTCTGTAGTTCTTTCCTCTAGGACTTTAACCAAAATTTAGTTCACTTTTTTGAAATCAAAATTACAGACAACAAGCCCATTTTCAAGATGATATGGTTCGCCGACACAAAATCTTTGAAAATTTGTTGAAAAATAATTTCGAGAACCTCTCTCTATAATAAACACCTATTATTGGGTAAACCTCTATTTAAGAGACGACAGGGTAGAGGACCTGCCTAAACGATACCCCCAATTTAATGGATAGTTAACTTTCGTTAGGAGGTACGATTTCCGATTCAAAGGGGTTTCAGAGGTTTGACTATACTTTCCTTCTTTTAATAAAAACCCAAATAGAAATCCAAAAAATCTGTACCTATATCCACATTTCCAACAAGCAAAACAGTCTAAATGTGCAAATAGCGGCTTATCTTTGTCTATAACCATTATCCAATCGGCGGGTTTAATAGTTTCGGAGCAAAGACAGCAATGGCCGGAACGTCCAAAGATGCGCACATCTGACAAAGGATATCGTGGTAGTATTACAACGTGATTTGGCCAAGGGTTAAATTGGACTAGGTTTAATGGAATGAAGTATTTTCAGTTCGGATATCGGATCCAGTGGGGATTTCCTAAAATCCGCCAACCCTCTATTCTTTCGAGTTGGGGTTTGGTTCAATTTTAGAATATTCCATTTTAACTCCGTAATACTTAAACCCTCATAATTATTACAATCTATAGCACACAAAAGTAGTCCATAGCGCAGATAGAAGCGATCACCAGAGTCAGTTAGTTGGCAAGTACAACAAGCACACTGAAAGAGACATTTTTATATGACATCACCAGAAATTGTCCTCAATTTAATAGTTAAATTTAAATGGCTACTGTGTGGAGGTGGAGGGTGGGGAGCAGTTTAAGGTTATACCCCCAAATATTAAAAGCACCTTATAGTAAGACAAAATCTCTTTCGGTCCCAAATGGTATCCTATAATGAGTTCAGACTGAGGGAGTCGGCGACCGGTTTATTCATCCATGTGGTGTGTCAAATGGAGAAGAATAAGAGCTTTTGCGCTGCCACAGGAAAGAATAAACCGGTCACCAACACCCTAGTTTAGACTGTATTTAAAGTTTTCTAATAAAAGAATCTTTTTTACAAACCCTCAAACAAAATTCATGCCAATTCAACCCCAACGCCACCAAAAATTGTTTATCAGTTATCAATTGATAACAAGCAGCACAATGCATTTAAATATAGTTTAAAGTGCTTGAAACCTATTTTTTTTAGTTTTTCACAAAAAATTTTCTGCATTAAGATAAAAACAAAGATTAAATGAATTCCCTAGTGTGTCACATTTAATTTAAATAAGAAGGAGAAAATTAATTTTTTTAAACAAAAAGGATTCAAATAAATTTAAAATCTGTGTGATTAATTAAATTAAAAGGAATAAGGGGGAATCTCGTCTAAGGTATCGCTCACTCTTTCCAACAGAGAAGTTCCGAGAAAGTATATCAAATGTACCTCAAAACTTCTTAGAAAAGTTGCATCAAAAAGTTCCCTCGGAAAAATATTGCTGAGAGCGTCCATGTTATATAGAGGTTTCGATGCATTGTTTCAATGTTTCGATTGTTTCGATGTATTAGAATTAAAAAAAAATTTTTTAATTAAAAAAAATTTAAAATATAGTTAGACAACTCCTAATAAAATTTCAAAAAAAAAACAATTTTTTAAACTACAATTTTTAAACATCAAAAATCAGTTCAAAATTTATTAATTGAAAAAAATGTTTCCAAAAATTCAGACAATTTTTGTTTAATTTAAAAATTTTTATTAAATATTTAATTAATTAATTAATGAATTAAATGGATAATTTATTTAATTTAAAAAATATTTTATTTGTTTAAATGTTTGGAAGTTTGTTTTAAATGTTATATAAAATGAAGGGAGAATTGAGGAGATTCAATTAAGGAATTAAATTAAAAATTTTCAAAAAAATTTCAAAAAAATTTTCAAAAAATCCCCACACACAGAAATGAAAACCCTTAAATTTTCTTCTATTATTTTTCATTTAAATTTTCAAATTACTATTTTTCCTCTTCAAATATTTGCTCAAAATAATTTTTGTCAATTCCCTCAACATAAGAGTACACCTCCTCCATTTACAGAAACACTGTGAATACTTTTTAGAATTAATACAATTAAACCTCAAGGGAATGTATCTAATAATTAGGTGTATATTAAATAGGGGGAGGGGGGATATATTACAATGAAGGGTGTGTTATCATGAGTGTGGTACCCTATAATGAGGTGTATATTAAATAGAGAGAATCTTATAATAAATTTATGTCAAATAAAGGGTATAGTTTAGGCAGCTCCCCCACCCAGTGAACAACCAAATTTTACAAATGTATCTCGATTGAATAGTAGAATTAGAAGTTTGGAAAATGCCAGATCCTGTTCCGGATTTTAATCTTTTTCCATCTGACCGGACTTTCCGGATCGAAATACCAAAAATCCGAATTTTACCAAAATGCCTGGATTCCGCACCACCGGATTCTGTTCCGGGTTTTAACTCTATTGAATAACACCTAATTTTAGGGTGTTTGTAAGAAAGAGGTTCAACTATAATTTTAAGAAAATTGTTACGTTTAATCTAGATTAAAAAAATTTTTTTTTAAAGACCAATCAAAGGACATGTAGATTTTGAATATGCTTTAATTACTGCAGCTCCCAATATGCGCAAAAGTTGTGATATTAAAGGAGCTGTTGACGGGCAAAATATTTTACAAATTGAGGATGGGGGTTCTATAAGTAATGTAATTATAGATGACCCGGCAAAGGGTATTTGGTGTGAAGGAAGTTGTACATTAACGAATGTTTTGTACGTTATTTAAATTATTAAAGAGGGTTATATTATTCTAAAGGGGGCTAACCTTCAATGGAAGCTTTATTTCAGAATTTACGGTATAGTAAGGTTGTACCCGCTCCGGAAGACGAAGTATACTTGTCCTCTTCTCTCCGTCACACTTCCTCTCAAAAACCTTCCCTGGGAACAACAGCTTATAAAGCTATCGGCCAGTGGGTGACTTTGTAGCTACCCCCTCTACTTACAGTGGCGGCAAATTAGTTAAGAAAATGGTTAACGCTTTGTAACTCCTTTCATCGTTATCCGATCTGGAAGATCTAAATTTTAAAAAATAGCTTAATTTCTAACTCAGATGACATGTTTCGGCGTTATTCGAAATTCTGATATTTTCGAAAACTTTTCGACCGGTCTAACAGGTACTACATTTTCGACTTTCCAGGGAAATTTTTTTGAAGTCTGTAAAAAATATATGTGATTCTCTTCTAGATTCTAAATACAATGCAAAAAACCGCATCCAAATCGGTCGAGATTCTACTGAGTTATGAATTTTTGAATATCGAAAAAACACCCATTTTTGCAAAAAATCGACAAAAAATGGCAAAAAATCGCGTTTTTTCGATTTTCAAAAATTCATAACTCGGTAGGATCTCGACCGATTTGGATGCGATTTCTTGCATTGTATTTAGAATCTAGAAGAGAATCACATATATTTTTTACAGACTTCAAAAAAATTTCCCTGGAAAGTCGAAAATGTAGTACCTGTTAGACCGGTCGAAAAGTTTTCGAAAATATCAGAATTTCGAATAACGCCGAAACATGTCAACTGAGTTAGAAATTAAGCTATTTTTTAAAATTTAGATCTTCCAGATCGGATAACGATGAAAGGAGTTACAAAGCGTTAACATTTTCTTAACTAATTTGCCGCCACTGTAAATACCTCACAAGAAACTCATTTCACATACTACTGATGATCGGGAGAAGAAAAAATCCGGTAAACGGGAGTCGAGTCGAAAAATAACCTCTGGAGTCGGGATACGCGAGCATCTACCACATACTAAAAGGACTTGATATAAGATAAATATCTGTTAAGTCTTGTAGAACCAAAAAAAATATTTTAAAAATTTCGATTCCTTCTCTTTTTTAAAACAAATTTTCAGCTTTACAAAAACATGTTACCACGCAGTAGATTTTGGAAATAGTCAGGACAGCACCCCAAAAATTTATACAGTAAATGGAGGAGCAGTAATTAATGCTTTAGACAAGGCAAATTTTAAATTTGAATTTGGAAATAAAATTTTTCTTTAAAGATTTTTACCCAAGCTGGGGCAGGCAAAACAATAATTCAAAATTTTTGTGCTGAACATTTTAGCAAAGTTTGGCGGTCCTGTGGAGAGTATTGTTTTCAGCATACGCGACGTGTGGAAATGACTAATTCGAAATTTAAAGGGCCGGGGCTGTCTTTAATTGGTGAAAATTAATTTAAATTTTTAAAATTTCAAAGATGAAGGGAGATTTACTAGACAAGCTTTTAGAATACATTGAAAGTTAGAAAAATTTATCAAGTAAATGGAGGAACCTCCTTCCCAATATTTAGTCAGTAGAGCACCTGTACATGGTAAGCAAAGCTCCTAGCATAGTTATTGTCAGGAGGTCACATGCTTGATGACTGCCCGGTTCCTCATTTACTAAATACATTTTTGATCACAATAAAAGATACACTCTTTCTACTTAAAAATTACATCTTATTCGAGGAGTATTTAAAATAGCATACCGTATTTGCTCTAGTAATCCCCCAGGGGGATTATTGTTTCAACCCATCTCTAGGGTGGGGGATTAATAGAGCCTGGGGGATTATTAGAGTGGGGTAGAAAGAGGGGGATTATTGTTTCAACCCATCTCCAGGGTGGGGGATTAATAGAGCCTGGGGGATTAATAAAGACAGGGGGATTAATAGAGCAAATACGGTAATTAAAGGGTATGTTTAAGCCAACTCCCCCACTTGCCAAATAAACGTATTTAACCCCCCCCCCCTCTCAAACTCCTGTGGGTTTTTCTTGTAAATTAATTTTATTTTTCCCCCTTTTCAGGTCTAAATTCCAATTTTCACGATACAATGTACATAAATAATGTAAAGTTAGATCCATCCTCACCTAGAATATCCTTTGGTTGTCAACAATATTTTGGGACACAAGGACCAGCTTCTCCCAATCCGGAAAGTGAATGTTTACCAGAAGAGGAATGTAACAAAAGTAGTTGTAATTATAAAAAAGGAAGTATTGTTGTTGGATGATTTGATAAAAATATAGTAGTCAGAACCAGTGATGCGGGGGTTCCAGTTTCGGAACTGGAAACGTGGAATCGGTATAGGTCTGGAACAGATTTGGAACTGGAACCGCCAAAATTCTGAGCTTATGCATCTCCGGTCAGAACTCTCTTGTATATCCCTCACACTTTTTAATGCCAGTTTTTCCAACTCTGGTTCTCTCTCGCCTAATCTGACACTTAGATTCTGGCCTAATTTGACACTCAGCTTTATGTTAGTCTCATTTAAATGTAACATCTTCTCTGCTTAAGTCTAAAAAATTCCCTTATTGTTATATGACTGACACTTTCACTTTTCAACTTTATTGACATTTTATTGTATGTACATTTAAGGGATTTTCTATTGAGATTTAATAAAATTTTTAAAAAATATTTTAATTTAATTTTTTTTCTAATTATTTCAACGTAGGTAAATATTAAAAAATAAAGTGCAACATTTGACTTTAAATATAATCGTCTTATTTATTTTTTAAATTTGTCTAATTTTATGTATTAATTGTTTCTTATTAAATATTTAAGTAAATAAAAGGAACAATTTTTTGTTTCAATTATTTTTTAATAGTGTAATCCTCTTTTTCTGATAATTTAAAAAATGTTAAAAAATTATAGTGATAGTGCACTTTAATTAACTGACATACTAATTTAAAAATTAAAAAACAGCCGGAACTTAGTATGTAGTATAAGAAATATCCAATATTAAATAAACCTCTATTTAATGGACGTTTTTTTAATAATTGGTTGGTCATTGGGTGAGGGAACTATTCAAGTGATATATCCCCAATTTAAGATGTCCTTTATTATAAAATACCCTTTTTTAGTCTAGAAGAGGTACTGTGTAGTGAGTAAGGTTGTTCCCCGTCCTCCCTCTCCCCCATGGCGCTACCTCCCCGAAAGTTTTCCACGTGGCCTTCCGCCCCCCCCCCCTCCACGTCGGGGAAAATCCTAGTAGTGAACCTAATATTAGATAAACCTCCTTTTAATAGATGTTTTTAATATTGGTTGGCCATTGGGTGTATAGGAAAAAACGTCAAACTAAACGAAAATACCCTCTCTACTAACTAATCTAAACCTCATTAAAAGAGTTTTGCAGTCCCAAAAAATGTATCTTAAAGTCTTGTTTAACTGTAACATTTCTTTTTAAAAAAATTTTATTTTTTTATAATTTAAAACATTAAAAAATTTAATTTTAACATTAAAAAACACTTGGAAAAACAAATATTTTTCCCCTTAAATTTTTTAATTTAAATGTACTATAAAATTAATTTTTTTTAATTTAGAGTGCTACTTAAAAATTAAATATTTTTTCAACACCTTTTTAAATCAAAAAAGGACTGTAAAAATAAACTCTTAATTCATTTTTAACAAAAAATACCTCATTTCTAAATTTATTAAAAAAATGTTTTTTTGGTTTTTAATTTTAATTTGTGGATTTTATTTAATTTTTGAATTAATTAAACAATTAATTGAATGGGTAAATTCTAATCTATTTTAATTTTTTTAATTATGGTACCCTTGGGTTATATCCCCTCCCTCAATTTTATTTTTCTTCTCCTTTCTTCCTATCTCCGAAAACACACGGATCAGAGTGACACACTGTTAAGGGGATTATGGCGATATATGGGGATAAGCACCCTCCCCCTCGAACTATGCCAAGTATTGCTTTCTAAAAATTATGATTTGGCATTATACGTGTGCGCCATAACCTTCTCTATTTATAAAATACTAGCGGAGTTGGTCGGCCTTCGGCCGCCCCACCCCGCTAGCAAAAACAAAACAAACCAAAAAACAAACTCCAAATCACAACCTCAAAATTGGCCCTAATCCAATCATAATCAGAAAAACCCGATAGTCAAAACATTGACCAGCATTAAAACAATACCTTATTACCAAAACATTTAACACAAAGCATCTAATATGCGCACCTGATAGGGTACACACAGGCGTCGTGTGACTCCGCTAGCATAATAAAACAATTCAACTCAAGATCCGATTCAAAAGCCTTTGGCCGGCCCATCTCGCTTACACATTTTTTTCCCTCGCAATTCCGCCTGCTTCCCAATTCCCTGTTTCGATATTCCCCGGCTTCGCAATTCCCCTTGCCTCACAATACCGCCTGCTTTGGCAGCAGTTTAAGAATGACCAAAATACCCTGCTTTTATACTATCTTTTTACCCATACAACCTAATTTAACCTGTAACGCTTTACTATAAAAACCCCCATTTCCTCACTCCCCCAAATCATTTTACTATAAAAACCCACTTGTCTATAAAAGGACAAACAGACAGACACACTCTTCTCAATTATATAATTAGATTCTTGACACTGGGTCTGGTTACAAAAATGGATCTGTTCTACTACATAAATTCACTTTGACCCGTTTGTACTTTTTTGGAGAAAGGAAAAGAACGGAGAACAAATGAAACAAGAGGAGATAACCCAGAAGTACATTAATTATTTAAAAAATTAATTTTTTTAAAAGCTTTTCCCAATGGATTTACATGGAAAGGTTAAAATAAATAATTTAATTATTTAAAAATTAAATATACATAAAAGGCTGTAGTGGTAATAGGCGCTACAACAGGGTTTGGCCATCAATTTGTAATTAAATGCGCTTCAAAGGGAATGACGGTGTTTGCTGCCTGTAATTCCCCTAATGTTTGTATTCTTTTAAATTATTCTGATTTTAAATTCTGATTATAATAAAATTAAATTCTGATTTTATTCTGATTTACAAAAAATATTCCGAATTTTAATTCTGATTTAAAAAAAATTCTGATTTTAAAAACAATATTCTGATTTTTAATCTGAATTTATAAAATAAATTCTGATTTTATTCTGATTTGCAAACTATTCTGATTTTAACTTCAAATTTTATAAAATAAATTCTGATCAAAGTTCTGATTTTTTTCCGACTTACAAGAAATATTCTGATTTTTAATTCTGAGTAAAAACAATACATATTCTGGTTTACAATATTCTGATTTTAAAAATAAATTCTGATTTCTAACAACTTATTTAATTTTTAAGGGTGTTCAAAAAGTAGTCCAAGCAACTTCCCACCTTTCTGGTTTCGTCCATGCCCATTCCCTCGATTTATCCTCAACAGATTCTGTTGAAAAATTCTTCCGTCAAGTAATAAACCAACTACCTCCTGGCACAGGAATACATGCTTTAGTAAATAATGCTGGAATTATAAGGGCTGGGGCAGATGATTGGTTAGCTATGGAGGATTATGAACATGTTTTGAGAGTTAATTTATTGGGGCTAATACAAATAACTAAATTATTTAAAGAACATATTAAATTAGCAAAGTTTGTTTTATTTTTTAATGGAAATTCTGATAAAAACAGAATTTTTTTATTAATTTTTGGGAGTTTTAAGAGGAAATTGTAAAGGTGAACCACGCTTACGCGAAAATCTATAAAATCACATAGAGACCACCTAAAATCGTGAAATTTTGTGTAGATACACTCACTACTGTTAACTAATTTGTCTAGAAATTTCGGAATTTTTGGTTAGGTATATACCAAATTATGGCCAAAAAACTAACAAAAGAATGGCAATTTTACACAAAATTCAGATTTTTGAAAAGAGTTTTCCAAAAATAAATAAAAAAATTAAAAAAATTTTTAATTCGTACATAATGTAAGGAAGGAGGAGAATAGTTGGTACTAGCCAGGGGATCTTTTAAAAGAGGGGTGAAGGCGTCGCCTCGAAAGCGAAATAATCGGTAGATTAGCTGTACATTGTGAGCGAAGCCCTTAGCAATAACTGCCCAGGAGCTTGCAGGCAGTCATCTTACTTAGTGTTAGCAATAGCTGCCAGGAGCTCTTTTACCTCTCTCTCATTATAAATAAAAATAAATCTAGTCTAATACTTTAGTTTCAATATTAAATTTTTAGAGGCCGTATACTCTTCTGTTCGAGTATATGTGGAAGAATTGCCTTTCCTTACTATGGTCCCTATACAGTATCTAAATTTGCAATGGAAGGATATTGTGATACAATACGGTCAGAATTAGTAAAATTTACAGAGAGAATTATTTCATTTTTTCAGTCGAGAATTATCCCCTTTTGGAGTTAAAGTCGCTGTAGTAGAACCAGGCTATTTCCGTACCCCAATAACCAATCCAGACCATATCCCCAATGAAATGGAGAAATCATTTAATAAATCATCACAATATATTAAAGAACAATACGGACATAATTTTATATTAAAAAATAAAGAAATAGCCAAAAATCATTTATCTTCTAAAGCAAACTCTCCAAGAGTTGATTGGGTTGTTGATGTGTATGTTTTTTTTATTAATTTTTATTCGAAAAAATATGAAGGATTAATTTAAAAAATGTTTTTAATTAAAAATAATGTTATTATTTTATTTTTCTTTTAAAATAAAAATTGTTTTACATGCATGGGGTTCGAACCTCCATCCTATAGACAGTGGAACAGGGACCTTTCCGACTACACCACGAAAGTAACAGGGGTTGTTACTTATATTTTTGCAACTTTTTTCCAACTTGTTTTTCCAACTTTTTTCAAACCTTTTTTTCTATTCCAGAAAATTCTGAGTTTAGAACTTGACAAAAAATAAACTTGAATTAAAATAATTCTGATTTGCTTTCAACTTTTTTTTCTATATTCTGGTTAATTCTGATTTTAAAACTTTTAAAAAATAAACTTGAATTAACCAATAATTCTGATTTTTATTTATTTTTATTTTTAAAGCTATTTTCATGCCTGTACAGCTATATTTCCCCGTAAAAGATATGTTGTTGGTATTGATGCTAATTATGTGTAGGGAGAAGATTAATTTAAAAAATTATTATTTTTCTCATTTTCAGAGTAATTCCAATTTCTCGTTTACCAACAGAAATACAAGATTTAATTTTTTGGTTAAATTCAATAATTTTAAAAAATCCATTGCCCAAAATTTTGCACAATGGGGGCTGTTTAAATGCCAAAATGGTCCATAGATGGATAAAAAGTGCAAATGGATTTGTGGCTTATTTGGAGGGGGAAGAGAAGGAAAGGTAAAAAGAGAGGGAGAAAAAATTTTTTGGAAAAAATTAAACCTCTATTTTGCGTACCTCAATATAAGCGACTATGTACGTTGTATAGAGGTTTAGTAGAAAAATCGAAAAAATAATTTATTAAATTTTTTAGATATGTGAACAAAATAAAAAATATTTTTTCAGTTCATTAAATTCTTCCGGCTATTGGGAGTTCAATCAAAATAGCGAACGCGAAGAAGAAAAATAAAATGAACTATGGAAATGAAAATTAAAAAAAATATTTTCTTTTTAACATTTTCTTTTACATAAATATTAATATGCGTAGAAAAATTAAATTTTATGTAGTGAATAATTTTTTATATTTTTTATTAAAGTTTATAGATTAGAGGGAGTGTTTTCCGTCCCAATAATCTCCAATAATCAAACTCCAACTCGACTTAATCCCAATAATCAAACTCCACTCGACTTGAACAGAGGATGTGCGATTTTCAAGTGATTATTCTTCCGTCCACCCAACCTCTCCTTAAAATTGGTATTCATCATTTTTTATCAGACATTTTAATTGAAAAGCCCTGATAAAAGTTAAATGTTTTGAGTTTTTAATTATTTTTTTTGTGTGGGTATTTAAAATATTGTTTTTGATAAATAATAATAAGAAAAATAAATTCAAAATCTAAATATCAAGTTTAATCTTCATGTGAATTCTCCCAATTTTTAAATTTTATTTTTCATATAAAATAGCCTTATAAAATTATTTTCAAATTTTCTAATAAAAGAAGAATCCAAACATTCAGGGAAGGTGGAAAAATAATAAATGCAAAGTTAAACTTTTATTTACTGTTTCGGAAAAGTATAAAGAGAATGTTTATTTATTAATATTAACTTTTCCTTAAAACGTATAAATCGGCACATATTTTTTTAATTTATTTATTTTTTTGTTCGGATTCTCATTTTTAAAATTTCAACCAAAAATTCGTTCCCTTTTTTAAATTAAAAAAATTTCTTTTGAATTTTTTAGCATTTTTTAGTCAGATTTTTATAAATTAACAAAATTAAATTTTTTTCTGGTACTTTTCCGTTATACGACCGCAAACTAAGTGCCAGCCGATTTTAATGGACTATAACTTTTTGATGCTTGATCCAATACTTATGAACTTTAGCATTCGAAAGCACTCGATAAGCTGTATCTTTTTTCCAATTTGATAGATCAGGTCTGATCACTCCTTAAAAAGTTGTAGCCCGATCAAAGTCGGCTGGCACTTAGTTTGCGGTCTATAACGCACAGAGTTGCGTGGTAATCGAAAATTTTTTTCGTAATCGTAATTCGTAACTGAAAAAATGCCGTAACTAGTAATTTTTTAAAAATTTTTAAATTAATTTAAAAAAAGTTCCTCTCTAAATAAATTCCTTCAATATTTTTCTTTGATTAAAGGAAATGCCACAATAAAGTGTGACAAAAAGGTCGTCTTCAACATTAAATTTATTTTCCTTTAGCAGTGATTCTCCAACAATTTTTTGCTCAACATTCTAATCAATCGATGACTCGAACCACGCTCGGCGCCTGATTTTTTATAAAAAAATAAAAAAATAGAACTAACTAGGACTACTGTTTTTGATAAATTTAGCAATCTCATCAACTCTTTTAATTTTCCGCTTATTTGTTAATTCTTCGAGTAATTTTCCTGGCTTTAATGCCGCTTCCTTACACTGCTTCTCCTTTTTGCTTGAATTATATTTTCTTTTAAATTTTTTAATTGGGATTTCAAGAATAAATTTTCGTATACTAGCGAGTATATCGTTCCATAGGTTCAGTTTGAACAGAACACAAGCATCTTGCATTATTGGCTGCTCACTTTGAACTGACTCATCTTTCAATAGAAGAATTGTTCGTACTGCAGCTTCTTTCAGTGGAGGATGAAAAGCTTGTAATGCAGCTACTTTTATCTTTTTCCTCACCATTTATTAGACATTCAGTTGAAATAATGGCTGAAATTTGTAAAAATAACGATTGAAAATAAAATTTAAAAATCTGCTGATCCCCGATTTTTTTGCACGATCCTCCCTTTTTGCAAATTATTAATATTTTTCGCCTTTCTCTCTTGCTGTTTCGCCCATCTGGCTTCAACAATTGTTTATTAGATGATCTAAGTCTCATCTGAAGATTTCAACAAAAAAAAACTAACTCTTTTTAGAAATATGAAAATCCAGGGAATTTTTTTTATAAAATCTTGAAACAATTATCTATGATGGTGGGAACAGATTTTTTAAAAATGGGATTAGTTTCCAATATATATATTTTAAACGGTACACCTCGTTTCGGCGCGCACATTTCGGTGCGTCACGATTCGGCGCGGGACACGTTTCGGCACCCATAGTGAAATTTCACATAAACTTTCGAAAACTTCAAGAACAAAACATTATTAAACAAAATATTTATTAAGTAAAATGTTGACTCAAATTTTTTCAATTTTGTGACTACAATAACAAAAATTTAAATTGACTTAAAAATATAACTTAAAAATAATAACTTAAAAATAAAAAAATCAGAAAAGGAATCACGGGTTCATTCTATAATTTATTGAAATACCTTTCAGATATTCAATGATTCTATTAGGATTCTGATTGTAGTCGTGGTCATTGATGTCCAAAGCGTTAAAAGCAACGGAAGATAATTCTGAACTTTTGCCAGGATCCGCGCATCAGCATCTCGATATTTTTTTCTTTTTAGAGGAGACTCACGCCCAGTAATAAATGCAAAAATCAACATCAGTAGCCTGTAAAAATTAAAGAGAAAATGGTACTTTTCGGTTCTGCCACACCCCTCCCATATATTCGCAGGTTAAATTTTATATCTTTCCTTCATACTTACAGAATGGTCAGACTTCCTCCTTTCTAGGGGAAATTGTTTCAAGGGAAAACTGAGTAAAAAATAATCTTTTCTTTATTAACAGCCTCTCATTGAACATACCGCAGGGAAAACTGCTGGAATTGAATAAAGGATAAAGTAAAATATGAAGGAAAAACATGCGAATATATGGGAGGGGTGTGGCAGAACCGAAAAGTACCGAGAAAATCAGAAAATAAAAATAACTTTTTGCACTTTCTGAAGAATTGAGATGAAATGCCAAATTGATGGATGAGAACAGTTGAAATGATATTGCAATTTTTTGTATGCAGCTTCAGAAAAATTATTCGTGCGACAGTCATTAGCGAGTGTTCGGTCATAAACACTCCACATTTCTGGATCGAAGCGTGCTGTGTACGTAAACCATCAGGACTTGGGCGGCCAGTGTAATTGTTCATTTACCTTAAATATACCATTTTTACAAAATCGTGTCATTAAATTTAAACCAATCTAGCATAGGCTCAATCTCTGGCACATTTCGAAACTCCAAGTCTAAGGCATTAACAGCAGCTGATGATCACAAACAGGCACAAATGTAACCGAAGTTAACATATTCGCATTTCCGCAAATGTAGGATCCAAATTATAACGCTTAAAAATCGGAAACTACTCAAAAAATATAAACCTGAAGTAAATTTTGTTCTGCTATTTTTTTCATGTTTCTAACAAAGTGAAAAAAACAATATCTAATTGAACATTGTCCGTTAAAAACAGTTTGTATCGAATTTGTCACAGCAGACTCGAAGTCAATCGAAAACGATGCCGGATTAAATGTTGGCCAACTTGCTCGAATCATGTTAAACATTTTTTCATAGTTTGACTGGGTTTTACAAGTTAAAAGAGCATGACAAACGGGAAACACCCAACGGTCACGTCTATATATTAGGTTATAAAAAAGAAAAATTAAATAAACCTGGCCAAAATCACATAAATTTGGTAAAAGAGAGGAGGGCTAAGACTAAAAGTGCCGTCCCCATAACAATTCTCATCATTTGTGCCCAATTATGGTTTGCTGCAGGTGCAAAAATAAGGATTCTAAAAAGGGACTCGAAATCAAGGACATTCAAAAATATAATCAAAACCTTTGCGGATTTTCATTTCCTTTCATAATATACTCCAGAGTCACTTAACAAAAATTGCTCCTGAACTAATTCGGTTTTTTTGTAAATTTGATAGGCGGCTGGAAAAAAACGGCTGGAAAACGACTGGAATAGGCGGAAATATATAAACGGCTGGAATAGGCGGAAAAAAACGGCTGGAATAGGCGGCTGGAAAAAAACCTTCATAGTTTCAAGTGCACGTCTCTTAATCCCAGTTTTCACTTGTTGTGCCGCGATGAGAGCTGGATTATGCTCACAAGTATGTTGTGTCACCATCCGAATAAAATTATTTTCCAATGTAGTTCAGATACGCCCTTTGTAGTTGT